GCGGCACGCGCGACGGCCGCCAGCTGGACACGACCAGGAACGAGTTCTCCATGAGCGAATGGCGGGATCTGGTTCGGCTGCAGCTGCTCGAGCTCCATCGGGGTAAACCAGGGGACGAGCGTGGCGACGCCGCCCCGGGCCTTCGGGTCGCCGCCGTCGTCGTGCGAGAACTCAAAGAAGAAGAGCTTGCACACGGGCGCGGCTGCGTGTCGACCCAGGTGCGGGGCAGAGCCACCGAGCCGTGGGCCTCCTGTAGCATGATGACGCACGTGCGCTTCATATACTTCGCAAGGGCGGCCTGCTTGCGACGGCGGCGCTTGCTCTTGTAGCGCATGAGGGCTCTGGCGTTCCACATGGCGATCGTGGTCGGCTCGGTGGCGCCGTCGACCCCCCACGGGGCCCAGCGAGGGCTAGGAGCGCCACGCGGCCGACTCCGCGTCAGCAGAGAGCGCCTGGAAGGAAGTGATGATGACGCCGCAATCGATGTGCTGGAACTGCGGGTGGTCGGCGGCCTGGTCGTTCCACTGGATCGCAGGCGGATCGGCTTTAATGTTGGCAATGAGTTTGACAATGGGCATTGAGTCAGCTTGTATGTCGCCTTTGTTCCTGCACGCTCTCCATCTCTTTATTGGGTATCGTTGCTGCGTGAGCTGGAGTAGTTTCTTTGTTTGAACTTCGGTGCGGATGTGCTTGGGCGACTTGTCAGGGTTGAGGTATACGTCGCAGTGCTGTCCAGTAACTTCTGTCCATGTAAATCTTTCCCACTTCCCAGCGGCGTCTTGGAGGGCGCGTGATAAGGCAATGGCGCGAGGCACTGCGACAGCTTTATCTCTTTGACTTGTAATATGACGCAGCGAGCAGGTTCGTCACCGAGAAATTCATGGCATGACTGTAAACTGGCGGCGGCGATCCACTCCTGGAGGTCGTTGAGCAGCAGGTCTGGCGCGATGAGGCGCTGGCTTCCGATCGTGAAGAGCGTCGGGTCGGGCTGTCTGTCCCATTCGGCAAGGCAGTTGAGGTCGGCGATCGGCGCCTGGGCTTCGGCGAGGGCGAGCGCGTCGCGCATCTGGTCGATCTGTTGCCACGTGCGCTGATGTTCAACAGCTTGGCGGTCTTGTTCCATGCGAGTGCGGATTACTTCGTCGTGTGGAACGTCAACTCTGAGTTCGGTAGCGGTGACTTGTAGTTGAACGAGATGTCTGGAACTTTCACGAGATTCGGCGAGTAGCTCGTCGGCTTGAGCTTGAAAACGAGTAGCGGCTGTAGCGACTTGTCGCTGCATAAGTTCACGAAGGGCGACGTCAAGATCTTCAGGAATTCCAGGAAGCGGTTCATTTCGCTCAGCAAGTGCAGGGTGCTGCTCTGGACGAGGTGCGGCGGGTCCAGGAGCTGGTGCAAGCTCTTGAGATGGAAAGGTAGGTGCCGGCTCGATGTCACGCGCGAGCTGTGAGCCGAACCTGCTGTTGGCCCAGGGGTCGGCGGCGCCCAGGAGCGGGTCAGCGGGGGGATGACCAGGCGGTGGCATATCTTCATCTTCCATGGCCACGGGGGCCGCTTCGGCAGCAGCACGGCCTCCTGATCTGGCTGAAGATCGCGATGAGGTTGGCGGCGGTCTCGCAGAGTTTCGGCCAATAGCGCGTGAGGGAGCACCCGCGGGGCCTTGGCTGCTGAAGCCCGCGTGGCCAAACTGTCCGGTATGTTCGCGAGCTGCACGTCGACCGTCGCGGCGAGGATCTTCACGGCGGTGTTGGCGGTCGTCACCACGCTCGGGGCGGCGAGGCTCGTCGCGGCGATGCTGGCGGTCTTCGCGTCTGCTGCGGGACGTAGATCCGTCCGATGCTGACTGGCTTCGGTCCGAGGAGGCGGCCGACATGATGTCGAAGTAGCTGGTCGTAGTGGTCGCGGGCGCTGGAAGCCAAGCACCTGCAGAGATTCTGGTCCAGAACGTGGCGGCTGAGGCACAATTCCAGGAGGCGGTCGCTGAACGTGGCAGCTTGGCTCACGAGCCAGGGTTATGAAGAGCTCCGTGCAGTACAGCGCGACGGTAGTCAGCAGCTTGCACAGCGAGGGGGCGAATGTGGAGGGGCGGCTGCTAGCCCGTGATTGTGGCGGCAAACGTCTGGATGCTGGATCGCTTGGGAGCTTACCCCGCGAAGGCAGTGAATGGAATGCCATTTGGCCTTGAGCCAAAATGGCTACGGAAAGAGGAGGAGGAGGAGGAGGAGGAGGAGGAGGAGGTGGAGGAGGAACCCGGTGAGGGCCACGGCCCCCCGAGGCCGGAAACAGCGAAAGACCTGCCGCCTCGTCGTTTCCACGGCTCCGGGGGGTGTCCTGGGTCTGCCGCCCCCTCTGCCCTCGCCCGGGCCAGTGTCGGGGCCCCGAGAAGCCGAAGATAGCGAAGCACCTCCCGCCGTGCTCTTTTCATGACTCGAGGAGGCCTGGGCATGTTTCTCTGGCATCGGCAGTGGCTTGTGCCTGTGCCTATTCTGTGCGGCGGGGGTCTACATCCACATCCGCCGCTTGTGGAACCGACGTCCTGGGAGCCCAGCGGGCGGCTGATATGGAGATATTTGGGCCCACAAGGGGCCCAAGATACCCAGATCTGCTGCCTGGCAAGGTCTCCGACGCTGACCTTCCAGGCGGTGTTCATGTACAAATCCTCGCCTCGGATAGGCGGCGCGCCCGGGGGGGGAAGTGAGAAGGGTCGTAGGTTCCCCGGCCTTCCGAAAAGTGTTCGGAGCCGCCCCCGAAGACGCACAAAAAACCTCTCAGCAGGCCGGCGGCCTTCAGAGAAGTCCCGCCGTCTTCTGCGAGGGCCTTTTCCCTCTCGTTTCCCCCCTTCCCCACGCCCCCGACGTCATGATTTGTTGTCGGCTAAATGCTCTTTTGGCCCCCCCTGCGTTTTTCAAAGAAAAACTCCACAGTAAAGACCCGTCGGAATCCGTAATGAGGAATCTGTAATAAGGAATTTGTGCAAAGGAATCCTGAATGAGAAATCTTTGCGCCAGGGTTCTGAATAAGGCATATGTAATCACGAATCATTCATATGATATCTTTATTCCAAAGGAACATAGCATAATGCATATGTACTAAGGAATCCAGAATAAGGAATCTTCACGACGGAATCCTTGAAAAGGAGGCGTTGCTAACGAATCCCTAAGGAAGAAATTACGAAGGACTCCTGAGCTGAGGAACCTTCATGAACATGTCAATACGAAGGAACCCTTAACAAGGAACCTGTACTAAAGGATCCTTACAGAGGAATATGTATCGAGGAATCCTGAATACGGGACATGCACGAAGGAATCCTTCATAAGGGATATCCAAGAAGGAATCCTTATTCAGGAATGTGTCATATGGAACCCTTGATCATGAATATTTACTAAGGAATACTGAGTAATGAATATGTACTACGGAATCTTGAAGAAGTCATATTTACTGTGGAATGTGACATAAGGATCCTTTACGCAGGAATCCACCAAAAAGAATATGCACGACGGCATCCTTAGTGATGAACCTTTATAAAAGAATCGTTTTCAAAATGACCTTGGCTGAGAAATCTTTAGCAAGGAATATTTACAGAGGAACCCTTGGTGGGGAACTTTTTTACTGAGGAGTCCACAACAAGGAATATTTACGAAGGGACCCTGAACAAAATAAAAAACTGTGTTCATGAATCTGAGCTAGGTATGGAATCAACGCTAAGGGACCCTTCATGAGGAATCTTTGCTGTTGGATCCATATAGTATGGAATATCCATGAAGGAATCCTTAACAAAAAGGGGTCCTGGTCGAATAATCCTTCCTTGAAACGGGATGTTTACGGAGGGATCCTTACATCAGGAATATTTGCGAATGAATCTCAGTCTGTCAGTATTGACAGACACCTGTATGAACGAATCCTTAAAACGGATATGTTCGAAGGAATCCTTAAATGATGGACCTGTACGAAGGAACCCACAGTAAGGAACCCTTGATAATGAATATTTTCCGGAGGAATTCCTACTACGGAACCTTTACGAAAGAATACTGAATGAGGAACCTTTTGCTAAGGAGCCCTTAATACGGAGTCTTTACTGAGGAACACTTTTAAAGGCATTCTGATACACGACCCCATACTTAGAAATCTTTTAGGAATCCATAATGAGGAACATTTGCGGATGATCTTGTGGCAAGGAGCTTTCATTGGGGACATATTAAAAAAAAACAACCGTTAGGAAGTAATCCTTAACATGGAATGTGTACTAAGGAATCCTTTAAGAGGAATCTGTACGAAGGAATCGTCAGGGAGGAAATTTACTAAGGAACCCCATACGAAATAATCTTGATTGAGGAACCTACTGAGGAACCCGTGGTCGGGGACCTCATGCTAAGGGATCCCTGGCAAGGAACCTTCAGTCTGCAATCCGTAATAGTTCCCCGGTCCCCGGCGCCCACTTCCCCCCCTCCCTCGCCGCCGATCGGATAGTTCTCCCTCCGCCACCCATAGGCGGCGCGCCCGACTCGGGGCAGCCCGACGCGCCCCGACGTCTGCGGGGGCTCGCAGAGGTCTTGCAGCCTCGGGGCGCTACCCCTGCGCCCCGCCGAGGGCGTCCCCGGGTTACAAACCTCACAAGCGGCGCCCCTGCCGAGGGCGTCCCCGGGAGGAGCCCGGAGGGCCGCCGGAGGCTCCTCCTCCTCCTCCTCGTCCTCGTCCTCCTCCTCCTCCTCCTCCTCCTCCACCACATCCTCGTCCTCCTCCTCCTCCTTCTCCTTCTCCTCCTCCTCCTCCTTCCTTCCTCCCTCTCCACAGCATCCTGCTCCCTCCACCACCAAACATCCTCCTCCTCCTCCTCCACCACCACATCCTCCTCCTCCTCCTCCACCACCACATCCTTCTCCTCCTCCTCCTTCCTCCTCCACCACCACATCCTCCTCCTCCTCCACCACCACCTCCTTCTCCTCCTCCTCCTCCACCTCCCCCCCTCGCTCGCCGCCGATCGGATATTTCTCCCTTCGGAGTCCTCCCCTGTCAGCCCGTAGCGCGCCAGGCCGCGCGCCAGGCCGAGCGGCGGGCCTGCCCTCGCGCGGGCCTCCTGCCGGCAGCGCGCGCCCGACGACGACGACGAGGCCGACGACGACGACGACGACGACGACAAGGCCGCCGACGACGACGACAAGGCCGCCGACGACGACGACGAGACCGACGACGACGAGGCCGAGGCCGACGACGAGGCCGACGACGACGGGGAGGCCGACGACAACGACGAAAAAAAAAAAAACAAAACGACGACGACATTTTCCTTTTTTTTGAAGACGACCGAGGAGGCCGACGACGCGACGACGACGACGTTGCCGACGACGACGGCGAGGCAGCGACGAGAGAGGGAGAGAGAGGGCGACGGAGTGACGACGACGAGGGGCCGACACGACGACGAGGCCGACGACAACGACGACGACGACAACGAGGCCGAGGAGGCCGACGACGACGACGAGGCCGACGACGACGAAAACGACGTCGACGACGAGGATGATGACGACGACGAGGCCGACGACGTCGACGACGAGGCCGACGACGACGAAAACGACGACGACGAGGCTGACGACAACGACGACGACGAGGAGGAGGAGGACGACGACGACGAGGTCGACGACGAGGCCGACGACGAAGAGGAGGCCGACGACGAGGCCGACGACGACGCCGACGACGACGAGGCCGACGACGACGACGAGGCCGACGACGACGACGACGACGAGGCCGACGACGACGAAAACGACGACGACGACGCCGACGACGAGGCCGACGACGACGACGACGACAACGACGACGACGAGGCCGACGACAATGGCGACGACGACGACAACGACGATGCCGACGACGACGAGGCCGACGACGACGACTACGACGATGCCGACGACGACGAGGCCGACAACGAGGCCGACGATGACGACGACGAGGCCGACGACAACGACGACGACGCCGACGCCGACGCCGACGACGACTACGACGACTACGACAAGGCCCACGACGACGACGAGGCCGACGACAGGACGACGACGAGGAGGCCGACGACGACGACGACGAGGCCGACGACAACGATGACGAGGAGGCCGACGACGAGGTCGACGACGAGGCCGACGACGAGGCCGACGACGACGACGAAGCCGACGACGATGACAACGACGACGACGACGACGACTACGACGACGACGAGGCCGACGACAGGACGACGACGAGGAGGCCGACGACGACGACGACGAGGCCGACGACAACGATGACGAGGAGGCCGACGACGACGAAGACGACGAGGCTGACGACGAGGCCGACGACGACGACGAAGCCGACGACGAGGCCGACGACGACGACGACGCCGACGAGGCCGCCGACGACGACGACGACGAGGCCGACGACGACGACGACGACGAGGCCGACGACGACGACGAGGCCGACGACGACGAGGCCGACGAGGCCGACGACGACGACGACAACGACGTCGACGACGAGGCCGACGACGACGACGAGGCCGATGACGAGGCCGACGACGACGACGACGAGGCCGACGACGACGACGACGACAACGACGACGACGAGGCCGACGACAATGGCGACGACGACGACAACGACGATGCCGACGACGACGAGGCCGACGACGACGACAACGACGATGCCGACGACGACGAGGCCGACAACGAGGCCGACGATGACGACGACGAGGCCGACGACAACGACGACGACGCCGACGCCGACGCCGACGACGGACTACGACGACTACCCTTACGGACAGGCCACGACGCGACCGAGGCCACGACGAAAGGCCGACGACGAGGAGCCGACGGACGACGACGACGAGTGCCGACGACAAACGATGACGAGGAGGCGACGACGAGTGGTCCGACGACCGATGAGCCGAGACGACGAGGCCGACGACGAAGGACGAAGCCGACGACGATGACAACGACGGACGACGGACGGACGACTACGACGATCGACGAAAAGTGGCCGGAACGACAGGACGGACGACGAGGAGGCCGACGACGACGACGACGAGGCCGGACGACAACGATTGACGAGGACGACCCCCGACGACGACGAAGGACGACGGAGGCTGCGACGAGGCCGACGAACGGACCGACGAAGACGGACGACGCGAGACCGACGACGACCGGAGCCGACGAGGCCGCCGTACGACGACGGACGAAGAGGCCGCGACGACGACGACGACGAGGCCGACGACCGACGGACCGAGGCCGGACGGACCGACGAGGCCGACGAGGCCGACGACGACGACGACAACGACGTCGACGACGAGGCCGACGACGACGACGAGGCCGATGACGAGGCCGACGACGACGACGACGAGGCCGACGACAACGACAAAGACTACAACGACGACGACGACGACGACGACGACGAGGCCGACGACGAGGGGGCCGACGACAAGGACGACAAGGCCGACGACGACGACGACGAGGCCGACGACGACGACGACGGTGACGAGGCCGACGACGACGATGACGAGGCCTACGAAAACGACGACGACGATGACGACGACGAGGCCGACAACGACGACGACGACGACGAGGCCGACGACAACGACGACGGCGAGGCCGACGACGATGACGACGACGACGACGACGAGGCTGACGACGAACCTCCGCTGGGCCCCCCAGGAGCCCACGAAAATGGTGACAGTTGCGCAGATCGCAGCCCCCAGGGCACCGCGAGGTCTCGAGGTGGCTGGCGTGGGACGTACCTCCGCTGGGCCTCCCAGGAGCCCACGAAAGTGGCGACAATTGTGCAGATCGCAGCCCCCAGGGCACCGCGAGGTCTCGAGGTGATCCGCGTGGGACCCACCTCCGCTGGGCCTCCCAGGAGCCCACGAAACTGGCGACAGTTGCGCAGATCGCAGCCCGACGGCACAAGAGACGAGGAGAGGGGAATACAGGAAACAGGAGAGGAGGAGCGGAGGAGGGGGGAGGAGGAGGAGGACGGGGCGACCACACTGCTCTATTCAAAACGAGTGCCCAGGGTTGGGAATTAAACAATAAAAAATCTAATACTAAGAATAGTCATAGTAATACTAACAGTAATAAGAATACTAATGATACGATTAATAATACGAACAATAATACTAACAAGGACAAATAAGGATAATAATGATACGACTACTACTACTACTACTACTACTACTACTACTACTACTAATAGTAATAATAATAATAGTATTATTATTAATAATAATAATAATAATAATACTATTAATAATAATATTAATAACATTAATACTAATGATACTAATAATAATGATAGTAATAAGAAGCATCACAAGAAACGCCGTAAAAAGAAACAACAACAACAACAAACACACACACAAAAAAAAATGCGCTCGGCGCAAATTTCTTGGATCTGCGCTGGGCCCCCCTCCCTTGCGCGCGGGGCGCGCCAGGGGCGGCGCCGGAGGCGCCGCCGCGGGGGGCCCAGCGCGGATCCAAGAAATCCGCGCGGAGCGCCGACCGTCAATCCTTATGGCGTTTTTCCTTCTTCGCATGTCGGGGGGGGGGCGTGCTGCCCTCCTTGCCCAGCTCATTTTGGTGCCGAGGTCGGTCCGCTCTGCTGGAGGCCTGGACCACTTCCCCTGGGCCAGTTTTTTGTTGGGCCTGTCCCCCTGCAGGCCGATTTTGGACGAAAAATGAAAAATAACAAAAACAAAAATACTGAATGCTCGAAAATGGTAAAAGACAATCGTCCCCAGAGTATTTACCTAACAGCTCTTGCTGATAGGTTTCTAGTGGTCTCAAAAGAGAGCATCATGACTCCTCAGGGGGGTCTGGGCGGGACCCAGGGAGGCTGCCGTCGAAGCCGAAATCGCTCAGGACATCCTCGCAAAATCGCTCTTGGTGCTCCCAGAACTCCATTCCCGGGCCACATTTTGGATGCCCGGAGCCAACTGTAGGCCACTTCGTGCTCTTCGACTTCCCAGAACTCCATTCCCGGGCCACATTTTGGATTTGGACCGGACGACAAACTTTAGGCCACTTCGTTGCTCCTTTCGATTCCCAGAACTCATTCCAGGGGCACATTTTTGGGATTGCCGGGAGCCAAAACTGTAGGCCACTTCGTGTCTCTTCAAGTTCCCAGGAAACTCATTCCTGGGCATGATTTGATGCCCGAGCCAAACTGTAGGCCACTTTGTGCTCTTCGACTTCCCAGAACTCACTTTCCTGGGCCACATTTTGAATGCTGAGGCAGGCTGATGCTGCGGTCGAGGCAGGCTGGGGCTGAGGCAGGCTGAGGCTGAGGCCGAGGCTGAAGGCAGACTGAGGCTGAGGCTGAAGCAGACTGAGGCTGAGGCTGAGGCTGGCTGAGGCTGAGGCTGAAGCAGGCTGATGCTGAGGCAGGCTGAGGCTGAGGCTGAGGCTGATGCAGGTTGAGGCTGAGGCAGGCTGAGGCTGAGGCCGAGGCTGAAGGCAGACTGAGGCTGAGGCTGAAGCAGGCTGAGGCTGAGGCTGAGGCAGGCTGAGGCTGAGGCAGGCTGAGGCTGAGGCTGAGGCAGGCTGAGGCTGAGGCTGTGACTGCGACTGCCGTTGCCGCTGCGACTGTCATCGCGAATGCGAATACGACTGCGAGAACAGCAGAATTCGACAACTGGATTTTCATCTGAATCTTAAGGGGAATGCTTTCAGATATGCTTCTACACATCGCTGTTAGGTTGCTTTGCCGGGATAATTTTTGACTAATTACCTAACAGCGAAGACTGATAGGTTTCTAGTGGTGTCAAAAGAGAGCAGCAGATGACTCCACAGGGGGGTCCGGGCGGGACCCGGGGCGGCTGCCGCCGAAGCCCAAATCGCCTGGGACATCCTCGCAAAATCGCTCTTGGCGCTGCTAGAACTCCATTCCCGGCGTACATTTTGGATGCACGGAGCCAACTGTAGGCCACTTCGTGGTCTTCGAGTTCCCAGAACTCCATTCCCGGCGTACATTTTGGATGCCCGGAGCCAACTGTAGGCCACTTCGTGGTCTTCGAGTTTCCAGAACTCCACTCCCGGGCCACATTTTGGGTGCCAGGAGCCAAAAATGTAGGCCAACTCGTGTTCTTCGAGTTCCCAGAACTTTCATCCCGGGCGGCAGATAGAATGCCCGGACAAACGTAGGCACTTCGTGTTCTTCGAGTTCCCCCGGATTTCATTCCGGGCCACATTTTGAATGCTGAGGCAGGCTTAGGCTGAGGCTGAGGCTGATGCAGGCTGAGGCTGAGGCAGGCTGAGGCTGAGGCCGAGGCTGAAGGCAGACTGAGGCTGAGGCTGAAGCAGGCTGAGGCTGAGGCTGAGGCAGGGCTGAGGCAGGCTGAGGCTGAGGCTGAGGCAGGCTGAGGCTGAGGCTGAGGGGCTGGGACACGATGATGTATGAGGCAGGCTGAGGCTGAGGCAGAGCGGCAGGAGAGGCTGAGGCAGGCTGAGGCTGAAGCAGGCTGATGCTGAGGCAGGCTGAGGCTGAGGCTGAGGCTGATGCAGGCTGAGGCTGAGGCAGGCTGAGGCTGAGGCCGAGGCTGAAGGCAGACTGAGGCTGAGGCTGAAGCAGGCTGAGGCTGAGGCTGAGGCAGGCTTAGGCTGAGGCTGAGGCAGGCTGATGCCGAGGCAGGCTGAGGCTGAGGCTGAGGCTGATGCAGGCTGAGGCTGAGGCAGCCTGAGGCTGACGCCGAGGCTGAAGGCAGACTGAGGCTGAGGCTGAAGCAGGCTGAGGCTGAGGCTGAGGCAGGCTGAGGCTGAGGCAGGCTGAGGCTGAGGCTGAGGCAGGCTGAGGCTGAGGCTGTGACTGCGACTGCCGTTGCCACTGCGACTGTCATCGCGAATGCGACTACGACTGCGAGAACAGCAGAATTCTACAACTGGATTCTCATCCGAATCTTAAGGGGAATGCTTCCAGATATGCTCCTACACATCGCTGTTAGGTTGCTTTGCCAGGATAATTTTGAATATTCCGCCTGTAGAGGGACAGGCCCACCTTAAGACCACTTCCCCGGCGGTGAGCAAACCTCCCTTTTGCAAACCTCCCCTCAGCGAAAACGGCCTGGGGCCGAAACCGACGGACCCGGACCCGCAGAAACGCCGGCCGCGGCGCCCTCTCGTGAAGCGCAAGCGGCCAATCCCTTCATCGACGTGTCGGGGTAGGAGGTCTCTACGGCCCCGAGGCCTGGCGAGGGCCCCCGGAGGCCGAAGACGGCCCCAGCGCCCGCCGCTCCGGGCTTGCGGGAGCGCCGGATCTCTGGGCCCGCCGCCCTCTCCCTCCGTGGGCGCGCCGCCGGTCCTTGCGGCCGTCCCTCACCAGCAGGTCCAGGTGAGCCGCGCTCGCCTCGCTCGGGCGGGCCACCAGCAGCTCCAGGTACGCCGCGTTGGGGACCAGGCGGCTGTTCCTCACCAGCAGGTCCAGGTACGCCGCGTTGGGGACCAGGGGGGGGGGACCGGCTCGGGGGGGGTGTTCGATGGGCGAGTAGGGGCCGGTTCGATGGGCGATGAGGGGTCGATGGCGACATCCGCACCCGACGGCAGCTGCGCGTCTTGTCGACCCCAGCGTTGGTTCCTGACACCGCGGGGATCGTTCAAACCTTCTTCCTCCTCCTCTCCCCCTCACCCCTCACCCTCCCCCATCCTCCCTCACCCTCCCCCTTCCCATCCTCCCCCTCCCCCATCCCCCTCCTCCCTCCTCCTTACTCCTCACTCCTCCACCTCCTCCTCCTCCCCCTCCTCCTCCTCCTCCTCCTCCTCCCCCTTCAGAAACGCCGCATTGTTCCACGATGGGCCGATTCATAGGCCCGGGCGGCGCTCCAACCTGACACGCCCGCGCTGGTCGCCGGGGTCGCCGCAGGTCGACGCGACGCGAACCCACCGTACCACCACCATCCGACTCTCCTGGATCGGCGGCAGGCGGGGGCGGGGCTCGGCCTTCGCCACGTGTTCGACGAGTTCCGAACCCTATGCCCGCGCGGAGCCCCGAGAGCCTATGCTCGTGCACGCGGCTTTCCTTCGGCCGTCGGCGATCCGACGGGCGGTTGTGGGTCGACAAGGTGGCGCGGTATCCGAACCGTCGATTCTCCTGGATCGACGGCAGGCGGGGGTAGGGTTCGGACTTCGCCACGTGTTCGACGGATTCCGAGCCCAACGCCGCCGCCCATCGAGCTGCCCCAGTCGTCGATCGGCGAGGGCGGGGCTCGGCTTTCGCCGCCGATCGAGGCAACCCCCCACCCCCAACCTCTCTCCCCCCCTTCAGGTTGCCCCTGACCTGGCCAGCAGGTCCAGGTACGCCGCGCTCGCCTCGACGAGGCGGGCGCGCCTGGCGTCGGGCGCTGCCGCGTCTCGGAGAGGCGCCCCCCCCCAGACCCGGACGCGCTGGCGCCGCGACGGAAATCGCAGCAGGAGGCATTCGGGCAACCTTCGGCCTCTGGGGGCGCTCGCCAGGCCCCGGGGCCGTCCGAGAACGACTCAGGATGAAAAGCGGGTCCCGGAGATGGAAGGGGCGGGGAGGGGGGGGGAAGAGAGAAGAGATGGGGGGAAGGGGAGGGGAGGGGGAGGCAGGAGGAGAACGGGGGAGGCGGAAAAAGGGCGGGAGGAGGAGGAGGAGGAGGAGGAGGACGAGGAGGAGGAGGAGGAGGAGGAGGAGCAGGAGGAGTAGGGCAAGGAGGAGGAGGAGAAGGAGGAGGAGGAGGAGGAGACGAACGTAACTAGAGGAACGAGGATGCACGAACCTCAGGAGAGCGGGGTCGACCGCCTCCCGCCGCGGGGGGCCTGGTCTCCACCTGAGGAGCCAGACCCCCCGACCGTGAACGAGTTGCAGTCCACGGCTTTCCGGAACGGGGGCCCTGGCATTGCAGGGCCCCCGGCCACGAGGCCGACCACGCCGACCCCGTAGACGAAGAGCAACAACTCCTCGACGAGCCACGCGACGGAGTCCGCCGCCACGAGCACCAGCGAGTGCTCGACTATGTACACGAGCGGTCCCGAATCGAAGCCCCAGCCAGCCGCCGCCAGCGAGCCAGCGCAGGCGCGGGCAGAGGAGTCGGCGTGCGGCGCGCGCTTCGCCACGGCCGAGCCTCGGCGAGGCCCAGCTTGGGCTCGTGCGGCACCGCGCCATGCCCCTCTGTTGCAACAGGGCGCACGCCGCCACCCCGCCCGCCACGCCCAGCAGGAGCGGTCATCCAGGAACCGCGGCCGCCGTCCAGCGGCATGCAGCGCGGAGGCCGCGCGCCACGCAGGGGGCCTGGCTGCCGCCCAGCAGGCGCCGCGGGCCGTGCAGCACGGCGTACGGCGGCTCAGCACGACGACCATCATGCCGATCGCGCCCAGCGGGCCCATCTCCACGAGGAAGAGGGCGCGGGCGCGCTGCGTCAGCGGAATCAGCGCCGCCGCGGGCGCCGTCGCACCATGCCGCCAGGGAGGGGAGGCGGGGCGCGGGGGGGGAGGAGGGGGAGGCGGCGGGCGGCGGGCCCAGCAGGCGGGCCTGAGCCAGACCCGACTAGGAGGAGGAGGAGGAGGAGGCGGAGGTGGAGGAGGAGGAGGAGGAGGAGGAGGAGGAGGAGGAGGAGGAGGAGGAGGTGGTGGTGGTGGTCACTGCATAAGGGGAAACATAATCCCGAGCAGACCAACACGCACCACGACCACGACGACGCCGACGACGACGACGACGGAGACGAGGCGCGCTTACGATCCGCACCGAAGCACGGATTTGGGAAAGGGCCCACCCTGCAGGTTCGGTTAAACAGCACATCGTTGAGCGGTGCTGCATCCTCCCCTGAGCACAGGCCCCCCAGAGCATCAGCCAGGCAAAGAGGGTTTAGTGAGGAGGGAGGAGGAGGGGGAGGAGGAGGAGAGGAGGAGAGGAGGAGGAGGGAAGAGGAGGAGGAGGAGGAGGAGGAGGAGGAGGAGGGAGGAGGAGAGGCGGAGGAGGAGGAGGAGGGGGAGGAGGAGGAGCAGGCCGCCGAGGAGGAGGAAGGAGGAGGAGGAGGAGGAGGAGGAGGAGGAGCGTGGAGAGGAGGAGGGAGGTGGAGGAGGAGGAGGAGGAGGGAGGAGGAGGAGGAGGAGGAGGAGGAGGTGGAGGAGGATGAGGAGGGAGGGGGGGCGAGGAGAGCAGGAGGAGGGGGAGGAGGAGGGGGGAGGAGGAGGGGGAGGAGGAGGAGGAGGAGGAAGGAGGAGGAGGAAGCGGAGGAGGAGGAGGAGGAGAAGGAGGAGGCGGAGGAGGAGACGAACGTAACTAGAGGAAGGAGGAGGAGGAGGAGGAGGAGGCGGAGGAGGAGACGAACGTAACTAGAGGAAGGAGGAGGAAGAGGAGGAGGAGGAGGAGGAGGAGGAGGAGGAGGAGGTGTGAAAAGATCCTGCCGGCGGGGGTCTGGGTCCAGAGCGCACCCCTCGCGAGCGACCCCGACTCTGCTCGCCTCTCCGGCGCGGCAGTTGCGTCGGGACAGTCGCCCAGAGCAGGGCGGAAGGCCAGGGAGCGATGGCTAGGTATGTGTGGACCTCGTCGCCCGAGGCACGGACGCCGCGCGCTCCTGGGCGCAGTGCGGGGCCCCGGGGCCCCGATCAATCTCCCCCCTGCTGGCTGCCCCCGAGGAGCGTGCACTGCGACGCCGGCTCCCAGGCAGGCCGATTTTGGGGCCCCAGGGGGGGGGGTGCGCGCGCGTCCCCCCTGCTTGGAGGAAGCAGCGACGGCCAAACCGGGCGGCCGTCGGCATGAACGGAGCTCGACAGGAGCTCGGCATGGCATGAACGGAGCTCGACCTGAACTCCACAGGCTGCCTCGCTTCCTCAGGCCCGGGGCCGCGTGTTCTTGCTCGCGCCGCGAGGGAACTGAGAGGTACGCCGGCCCCTCCTGGGGGAGGGTCCATCTCGGTCCGCCCCCCCCCCAGGCCACAGGGCGGGCGAGACGACCGCGGCAATGGATAGCCGTGTGGCTCCCTCTCACCGAGTCTGGGGTCACCAGGGCCGTGGCTGGCAAGTCCTCGCTGAGCATCAGGGGCCCAGCTGGGATCCTCCTGAGCTCGTACCTCTCCCATTCCGCCCTCCTCTCTCTGCTCGACAGGAGCGGCGGCAAGTTCCGCTGCATGCGAACACACCCCATAAGCAGGGCAGACTCTCGGGTCCGAAGCCGCGAACACGTTGCCACGCCGCGAGCAATGCGGGCAGGAGCCGCAAGCCCCCCTCTTGCTGGGGACGCTGCACTTTTCGAGCCCGATCGATCAGCGGTGGTTCCGGGTGCCGAGACGGGGCGAAAACGCTCGGTGTGCAACAAAAATGCTGCGCCTGGATCCGAGGAGACCGCGTTTTATTCCCAACCATCCTGTGGTGTTGGGTCCTCGTTTTGAAGAGACAGCGCCCCGCGTTCCCTCCGCCTCTCCTCCTCCGCCTCCTCCTCCTCCTCCTCCTCCTCCTCCTCCTCCTCCGTCCTCCCCTCCCTGCCTCTGCTTTCCGCACGCCCATCCTATTTCGGCACACCCCTCACACGTTTCGGGGCCCAAAAGGGAGCTCCACCGAGGGCCCCAGAGGCAGCGCCCGCATGGCGCCACCGCGCCCGTTTCCGCACACGCCTCACGCGTTTCGTGCCACATAGGGAGCTCCACCGAAAGCCCCAGAGGCAGCGCCCGCATGGCACCACCGCACCCGTTTCGGCACACCCCTCACGCGTGTCGGGCCCAATGGCGAGCTCCACCAAAAGCCCCATCGGCAGCGCGCACATGGCACCACCGCACCCGCTTCGGCACACTCCTCGGGTCGGGCGAAAGGGGGGGATAGCAAAGGGGGGGTTTGAGAATCAGCTCACGTAGCTGATTTTCCCGGCGCCTCCCGGCGCCGGAGGCGGCCATGTATCGAGGAATGGGCCCCTCGGTGAGGCCGAAATCAGCTGCATGCAGCAAATTTCGTAACCCCCCTTTCCCAATCCCCCCCTTTCGCCCGACCCGAACTCCGCACACGTTTCGTGCCACATAGGGAGCTCCACCGAGGGCCCTAGTGGCAGCGCCCGCATGGCACCACCGCGCCCGTTTCGGCACACCCCTCACACGTCTCGTGCCCCATAGGGAGCTCCACCGAAAGCCCAAGGGGCAGCGCCCGCATGGCACCACCGCACCCTTTTCGGCACACCCCTCATACGCGTTCCCCACAGGGAGCTCACCTAATGCCCCAGAGGCAGCGCCCGCATGGCACCACCGCACCCCTTTCGGCGCACCCCTCACACGTTTCGTGCTCCATAGGAAGCTCCACCGAAGGCCCCAGTGGCAGCGCCCGCATGGCCCCAGAGGCAGCGCCCGCATGGCACCACAGCGCCCGTTTAGGCACACCCCTCACGCGTGTCGGGCCCCATAGGAAGCTCCACGGAAGGCCCCAGTGGCAGGGTTCGCATGACACCACCGCCCACACCCCTCAACACGTTGCGTGGCCCCTCAGTGGCAACGCCCGCATGGCACCACCGCGCTCCCCTCGGTACACCCCTCACACGTTTCGTGGCCCCATAGGGAGCTCTACCGAAGAGGATGCGCATCACCGCGGTATTCACAACTGTATGTAGTTGGGTTTGTCGCCAGGCCACAGTGGCACAGCGGCAGGGTTCGCATGGCCCCATAAGGAGCTCCGCCGAAGGCCCCAAGGGCAGGGTTCGCCTGGCACCGCGTCCTCCATTTCGGCACACCCCTCAAACGTTTCGCGGCCCCATAGGGAGCTCCTCCGAAGGCCCCAGTGGCAAGGTTCGCATGGCACCGCCGCCTCCATTTCGGCACACCCCTCACACGCTTCGTGGCCCCATATGGAGTTTTACCGAAGGCCACAGTGGCAGGGTTTGCATGGCACCGCCGCCTCCATCTCGGCACACCCCTCACACGTTTCGCGGCCGGGAGCTCCGTCGAAGGCCACATTGGCAGCGCCCGCATGGTATCACCGCACCCGTTGTGGCGCACCCCACTCGTTTCGCGGCCCCATATGGAGCTCCACCGAAGGCCCCAAGGGCAGGGTTCGCATGGCACCGCCGCCTGCATGTTCGGCACACCTCTCATGCGTTTCGTGGCCCGCCCACCCCTCACAAGCTTCGTGGCCCCCTAGGGAGCTTCGCCGAGGCCCCTTTGGCAGGGCTCGCATGGCACCGCCGCCGCCATGCTCGGCACACCCCTCACGCGCCTCCTGGCCCCAGAGAGGGAGCTCCGCGGAACGCCGCGCCCACAACGGGGCACCGGCAACTGCACATGGTTGGGCCCTTCGCCAGGATCACTTTCCAGCGATGCCCCGGATCATCCGTTCTGGGTAGTCGAAGCCAATCTGGCGCCAATCTGGCAGGCCCAATCTGGCAAACGGGGGCAATCTGGCGAGGGAGCCAACACGAATCCAGTCTTGCGAACAACCCAAATCATCCAGTTTGGCCAGGCCAGATTGGCCCTTGGGGCCCAGTCCAATCTGACACTCTGGCCTTCGACTACCCAGCCAAGAGGTCTCGAAGGCGGCCCGAGAGGGCTCCGAGTCGCCGAAATATCGGCCCCAGCAAGAGGGCTCCCAGACGGCCCAAGAGGCGCCCAAGACGCCCCTCGAGGCCTTCGACTGCCCAGCCGTTGGAGGGGGGGGGCTTGCCTTGTTCGCTTCGTGCAGCCCCACGCGTGCCCGCGCGCACCACATGCTGCGTACCCGCGCGGACCTGCGCAGCCGGGGCCGCGAAAAATGGGGGGGGGGGGCGATGAATACGGCGGGTTTGTGTCGTGACGACCCCAGCGATGGTTTCTGACACCGCGCTGGATCGTTCAACCTTGAACGATCGGCCCTCACCGCAACGTCCGATCGTTCAACATCGATCGATTCTGGGTCGCCGGCGGCGTTCAACCTTGAACGCCGGCGGCGGGGTCGCCGCCGGTCGACACGACGCGAACCTACCGTAAGCAGGAGGGCAACGAGGCTGCAGAAGATGAGCCCATGAGGGCCCCAAAAAGTGGCCTTCCAGGGCCCAGAAAGGAGGCCTTCAGGCTCGAAAAAATGCATGATCTGTCCTCCGATGTATCACTCCCCCCATTGAGCGACGCACAAACAACCGACAAAGTCAATTTATCCGTTGGGGGGCGGGTGATGAACGGGTTCTATACTCTGGGTCGTTTGCGAACACGGCGCCCGTGCCCCGCTCCAGCGCAGTACGGTGCATCATTTGTTGGCTCAGAGGGCCGAACAATTATGCATCGTACCAGCCCTGGGTCGAGGAACGACAATGTCTCAGGAAACGCCAACGCGGTACGGTGCATAATTCTTGGGCTCTGAAGGCCGAGCAGCTAACTATGCATCGTAGCATTCCTGGCTCGAGGAATGACGACGCCTCGGGAGACGCCAACGCGGCACGGTGCATACAGTTCATCCGCGGATGATCGCTGGATCCTAGAATGACAAGGTTCGCCAGCATGTACCCCAAACAATGCGTTTTAGCAATCTATGTGATGCAATCGATGAGGTGCAATCTATGTTGTGCAATTAATATTTGACCGTCTTGAAGCTGTCCTCTCCACTGCTCGTGCAAACATCCCACCCTCCCACCCGCAACTTGGTCGCATGACCTCTTAAGACAAGACCGTGACGGTACGTACCACATGACACTTGGCCACGACACCGACGCCGACGACGACAGCGACAACGACGACGACAGCGCCGCCGACACCGACTACGACGACACCGACGACGTCTCCAACGGCTTCGACGACGACAACGACGACACCGACGACTTCGACGACGTCAACGACGCCGACGACGACGACGACGACGACGACGGCGACTACGACGACACCGACGACGTCTCCGACGACTTCGACGACGACAACGATGCCGACGCCAACGACGACGAAGACGACGACGACGTCGCCAACGAAGACGACGACGAGGGAGGAGGAAGGACGACGACGGCGACAACGACGAAAACGACGGGCGACGACGCGAACAACGAAGAAGGAGGAAGGACGGCGGCGCCGACGACGACAACGACGAAGGAGAAGGGAAGACGACGACGACAGCGGCGACGACGACGACGGCGACGAAATCCGCCGACCCTGTCGGCGTGTGGAAGACGCATCCCGGTGTCGTCGTCTTGCGTGGATCACCGTCGTCGTCGTCGTCGTCGTCTCCGTCGTGTCCTCGTCGTCTCCGTCTCCGTTGTCCCTCGTCGTCTTCGTCGTTCCCCGTCTCCTTGAGCGCGCGAGCCAAAGCGACATTGAGCAACGTCGTAGTTGAGTCGTGGCGAAGCCCCTCCCTACCCTCCCCGCCGGGGGGGGTGGGGGTCGCCGGGGGGGGTCGCCGGGGGGGGTCGCCGGGGGGGGTCGCCACCCAGATACGCATCCTCCCCGGGGGGTCCCGGAGCTCAGAAAAGCTTCAAGACGAGCCAAGAGCGACAGAAGACACCCCCAAAAGGGTACAAGAGGGCCTCGACTCGACGAACGATGGCCCCAAGACGCCCAAGACGGCCCGAAGACGGCCCAAGAGGCCCTCAAGACGCTCCAAGAGAGCCCCAAGAGCACACCCAAGAGGGCCCCAGGCGCCAAAATCGTCAATTTTACATCGGTTTTTGAATGATTTTGGCCTTCTCGCCTTTTCGGCTTTCCGACACTCCAAGACGGCCCAAGAGGCCCCCAAGAGGCCCCCAAGAGCGCCCCAAGAGGCCTACAAGAGGGCCCCAAGACGGCCCAAGAAGGCCCCAGGACAGCCAAGAGGCGCCCAAGACGGCCCAATAGGGCCCCAAGACGGGCCCAAGAAACGGCCAAGAGGGGGACGAGGAACCGAGAATTCGAGACTTCCGCCCTAAGAGGCCCCCGGGAAGCCCCAAGAGGCCCCCAAAAGGCCCCAAGAGGCCCCCGAGCGGCGCCAAGACGCCCCCAAGATGCGCCGAAGACGGCCTCCGGAAGCCCCAAGAGGCCCAAAAGAGGCCCCAAGAGGCCCCACAACGGCCCCCAAGAGGCTTCAAGTTGCCTTCCAGACGCCCCCGAGAGGTCAACCACGAGATCCCAACCAACATCCATAAGGCATCCTCCTCCTCCCCCTTCACCCTTCCTCCTCCTACTCCCTTCCGCCTCCTCCTCCTCCTCCGCCTCCTCCTCCTCCTCCTGCCCCCCCCCTCGTGTTGTCTTTCGTCATCTTCAGGGTCGGCGGCAACGGCCGTAAGGCCTTCGCAAAAGGAGGGACGACGACAAAACGCCGACGACGGACGACGACGACGACGACGAGGGAGGAGGAGGAAGGACGACCACGGCAACAACGACGACGGAAACGACCACGACGCCAAAGAGGACGACGACGACGAACACGAGGAAAGACAGAGGACGACGTAGGCGACGACGACGACGACGACGACGCGGGAGGAGGGAGGACGGCGACGACGACGACGACGACGACGCAAAAGCGCGCGCGCACGCTTGTGTTGAAAATCCGTGTTGCGAAACTTTGTCAGTGTAGATTTTTTGGACACACGATTTTGGAATCCTTCCGAAATCGATGGGTTTTGAAGGTTTTCGGCATACGCGCGCGACGACGCGCGCGTCTGCACTTCGTCCCGTTTCTTGCAGAGGACTCTCGCGACGGCACACGCGCAAGGGCGTTCGACAGATTTCGACATGCGCGCGCGCGAAGCCCGTGTAATAGCATTTTGTCAAAATCTTGAAAAACCGACGGTTTTCTTAAGATTTCGCAAGAGCTCGCGCGGAAGTTTTTTTCGCCAGTCAATGTTGCGAAACCCTGTGCTTTTGTATGTGTTTTGGAAACTCGATTGCGAAATCCTTCCGGTACCGGAGGTTTTTGAAGGATTTCGGCATGCGCGCGCGACGACGCGCGCGTGCGCACTTCGTCCCGTTCTTGCAAGGGATTCATGAAAAACTGCTATGTTAGAACAAAAAATGTCACCGCATAGTGTACATACATGTGTATATATATATATATATATATACTAGAACCACGCGCGCGCTTCGCGCGCGCTTAGGTTCTAGCTAGGAGGCGAGCTTGAGTCAACGAAAGTCGCAGGGAAGGGGGCAGGGGGAAGAAGGCCAGAGAGCGCTGAAGGATACAAATACTGGAACCCTCTTGTGATTTTGTGGGGGGCCTCGTCCGGCCGCTCGCTGGGAGTTTGACGTAGCTTCTTGGGAGCCTCTGAACCTGTCGGGGGCCTCCTGGACGCAGGTTCGAAGCATTTGGGGGGCCGATTTGGGGCTTCTCGGGGCCTCCTTTGGGCCTCTTGGGGGTCTCCTGGGGCCTCTTGAGGGGCCTCCTTGGGGCCTCCTGGCGGCCTCTTGGGGTGGAAGGCTCGAGCTTGCGGTTCGTGGTCCCCCTCTGGGCACCCTCTTGGGCCCGTCTTGGGGCCCTCTTGGGCCATCTTGGGCGCCTCTTGGGCCGTCTTGGGGCCCTCTTGGGCTGTCCTGGGGCCCTCTGGGAAACTTTTTGGGCCGTCTTGGGGCGGTATTGGGCGCCTCTTGGGCCGTCTTGGACGCGGTGAAAGCCCAAGAGGCGAACATGAGAAAAATATACGTTTTCCCATAGGAATGCACGATTTGTGCTTCTTGGGCCTCTCTTGGGCTGCCTCTTGGGCCCGTCTCGGGGCCCTCTTGGGGCATCTTGGGCACCTCTTGGGCCGTCTTGGGGCCCTCTTGGGCTGTCCTGGGGCCCTCTTGGAAGCTTCTTGGGCCGTCTTGGGGCGGTCTTGGGCGCCTTTTGGGCCGTCCTGTAACGTCGGACAACCCAAAAGGCAACTTTGTTGAAAATGTACGTTTTACGAAGGGTTTGGGCCAATTCTTGCGTCTAGGGGCCCTCTTGGGACGCATGTTGGAGGCTTCTTGGGGCCTCTTGGGGGCGTCCTTGGACGTCTGGGGTCTCCTGGGCCTCTTGAGGGGCCTCCTGGGGGCCTCCTGGCGGCCTCTTGGGGCGGAAGGCTCGAGCTTGCGGTTCGTGGTCCCCCTCTGGGCCCCCTCTTGGGCCCGTCTTGGGGCCCTCTTGGGCCATCTTTGGCGCCTCTTGGGCCGTCTTGGGGCCCTATTGGGCTGTCCTGGGGCCCTCTTGGAAGCTTCTTGGGCCGTATTGGGGCGGTCTTGGGCGCCTCTTGGGCCGTCCTGTAACGTCGGAAAGCCCAAAAGACAACTTTGTTGAAAATGTACGTTTCACGAAGGGAATGGGCCAATTCTTGCGTCTAGGGGCCCTCTTGGGACGCATGTTGGAGGCTTCTTGGAGCCTCTTGGGGGCGCCCTTGGACGTCTGGGGTCTCCCGGGGCCTCTTGAGGGGCCTCCTGGGGGCCTCCTGGCGGCCTCTTGGGGCGGAAGGCTCGAGCTTGCGGTTCGTGGTCCCCCTCTGGGCCCCCTCTTGGGCCCGTCTTGGGGCCTTCTTGGGCCATCTTGGGCGCCTCTTGGGCCGTCTTGGGGCCTCCTATTTGGGCCTCTCATCTCTCCGTAGTTTTGTATGTTGTCTTGGGGGCGCTATGCTGTTGTTTGTATACTTCGTTCTTTTGGCTAGTTTTTTTTATCTAGAAGGGGCCCTCTGGGAAGCTTCTTGGGCCGTCTTGGGGCGGTCTTGGGCGCCTCTTGGGCCGTCCTGCAACGTCGGAAAGCCCAAAAGACAACTTTGTTGAAAATGTACGTTTTACGAAGGGAATGGGCCAATTTTTGCGTCTAGGGGCCCTCTTGGGACGCATTTGGAGGCTTCTTGAGGCCTCTTGGGGGCGTCCTTGGACGTCTGAGCCATCTGCAGCATCTCGTGAGCCATCTTGGAGGCCTCTTGGAAGTTTCTTGGGCCGTCTTGGGCGATGCTTGGGCGTCTGGTCCTGACTGGGGGAGGCCTCCAGCGGCAAGCCCGACGAGGGCACCCTTTCTTCTTGGGCCCCCGGGGTGCACATTTGCGGTCGGGGTCCCGGCCCCGGGCCCCCGGACCCGGTGCGCCGTTATATGTATATATAAAGGGACCCTCAGAGGGGGGGGGTACCGGCCCCCTGGGACAGTGTAAATTCATATTTAGGATGGACATCTGGTCAGAATCATATATGACTTACATACCCGAAAGGGGTAGTGATCACGCTGGGGGGGGAGTAGATCCTATTTTTAGAAAAGAGATTTCACCCTGCCAAACTTCAAGTTGTCACCCCCACTGCTCGATGTGGTTTGCAAAACCCATGCGGAAGCGTTCGCGATGAGCGCTTTGTGTTGACTGGTGCATCTCTGCGGCCGCGCTAGCCCGCGCATGCTCGCGCGCGCAGCGGCCACCTAGTTTGACGCGACCGACGCGAACGCGGCATCCTGGCAACGTCGACGACGGTAAATTCGATGATGACAGTAGCGATGCTGGTGGCGATGTTGACGGCGACGGCGGCACGGCCAGTGACGGCGCCGATGCTGATCATGCTGGCGACGATAACGGCGTCCTCGCGTCGGTGATGAAGGTTTTGGAAAGAGTTCGAGATGCGCGCGCGGCCGACGCTCGAGAGTGGCCCGCTTGATATCATTTGACACTGATCGTGTCCCCCCCAGCACGCGCGCAAGGGCATTCGAATGATTTCGGCATGCGTCGCGAGAGGCCCGTTTGGCAGAATTCCATGACACTCTTGCAGAACCAGAATTTCATTATTATTATTAATAATACTAGTATTATTATTACAATACATGTATATATGTATATGTATACATTATATATGTATATATATGTGTTTATGCATGTGTATATATGATGCGAAACCATATGTGTTTTATATGGTGTCGCAGCGCTCGGTTTTGAAATCCGTACGAAACCGACGGTTTTCGAAGGATATCAGAATGCGCGCGCGACAGCGCGCGCGCACTTCGCCATATATGTTGCAACGGATTCTTGCGGCACCATGCAAGAAAAGGGCGTTCAAACAATTTTGACATGCGCCCGCGAAACCCGATTGGTAGGATGTTATGAAAATGTTGAAAAGCCATGGTTTCTGAAGGATTTGCACAAGCGCGCAAGCTTTTTTTGAATATCCAAGCTGCGAAACCCTATATGTTGTATGTGCTTCGGGTACTCGACTTTGAAATCCTTGCGAAACCCACGGTTTTTGAAGGACTTCGGCACGCGCGCGCGACAACGCGCGCGTGCGCACTTCGTCCCGTCTGTTGCAAGAGATTCTTGAGCACAGATGATTTGTCGTAAACGAATGTGCGCGCATAGCATGCCATGTTTTGCAAAGGAGGGCGGGGGGTGCGGATACTAGCTCGGCTGGGATGACATGAGTTGATGTATGGGATGGACGAATCATATGTAAATTGCAATACGAAAAGGGGGCGATAATCCTTGGGGGGTAGAGCCTATTCTATATCAAGAAAAGGGAATGTAGCGGCGACGGGCGGCACGGGCGGCACGGAGCGGCACGGGCGGCCTGGGGCGGCACGGGGCGGCACGGGGGCGGCACGGGAGCGGCACGGGGGCGGCACGGGGGCGGCACGGGGGCGGCACGAGGGCGGCACGGGGCGGCACGGGGGCGAAAAGCCGGCAGGCATGGCCAGATGGTTGGACCAAGTCAGGACCCCTAGGTGCAAGCACCTGTTTGGTGAATCTCGAGGGGAGCCGAGGTCAGGGCAGGGACACCCGAGGACCCCCTGCGGACCTGCGCAGACGACAAGGCCAGGTTATCTAGGCCCAGGGGGAGGAGGGGGCGGGCGGGACCGACAACTCGGGGCTCGTGGGTACACCGAAAAAATACCGCTACCGCCACCGCTACTTCTCAGACCTCTCCCGGGGCGCGTTCTGACCAGGACTTCGAGGCGAACCCAGCGGGGGCAACTAGGGCCTACCCAGGACACCCCACAGGGGGAGATGATCTGAGTTATCGCAGGATCCCCTGGAAAAACAATCTCAAGGGGATCCGAAGTCAGTCAGGGCAGAGACACCTCCAGTCGCCCCCCAAAGCAGGGCTGCAGAAAAGGGGCCGTGTAGGGTCCCTACAGGGGCCCTTTGGGGCCCAAGAGGAGGGCCGCTCGGGCCCGAAAATGCAACCTTTCTCCCCCACTCTATCGCCCCCCATAATTCGCGCCCGAGAAGTCGTTGTCGTTGTCGTCGTCGTCGTCGCCGCCGCCGTCGTCGTCGTCGTCGTCGTCGTCGTCGTCGTCGTCGTCGTCGTCGCCGTCGTCATCCTGGTCGTCGTCGTCATCCTCGTCGTCGTCGTCGTCGTCGTCGTCGTCGTCGTTGTCGTCGTCGTTGTCGTCGTCGCCCCCCAAAGCCTGGACGCGAGGGCCGCCGGCCCGACGCCGCCAGCGGGGACGCCCGTGCGGTTGCCCGCGCCCGCCACGGTGGGGATCTGGCCCTCGGCCACCTCGCTCGTTCTCGTCGTGGCCCTCGGCCCCCCCGCTCGTTCTCGTCGTCGCCCTCGGCCCCCTCGCTCGTTCTCGTCGTCGCCCTCGGTCTCCCCGCTCGTTCTCGTCGCGGCCCTCGGCCACCTCATCTCCCAAACATGAGACGTCCCCATCTTTTCCAGACCCGGTCCCCTGAAGTCCCGACCCCCTCCTCTCCCTGGGACCGGCTTCGCATCCTGAGCCGCTTGTTGACGGTCCCAGGGCCCGGCGAGGGCTTCTGGAGGCCGAAAACGGCAGAAAACCTCCTCCGCCCTGAACTCCTCACGAGGCGAACGCGGCTGGGTCGCTCGTCCCCGAGATCCGGCGTGGCGAAAAAATTGCAACACAGCAGGGAATCCTCCTCCTCCTCCTCCTCCTCCTCACGACTGGAGCCCTAGACCCCAGCTGTCGGCGTCATTCTTCGAGCCAGATCGGTCTGTGAGAGCCCCAGGGCCCCGGCGCAAACGCCCGGCTCGAAAAAATGGAGCTGCCAAGATCTCAATGAAGGGGCCCAAGGACACACACACACACACACTCACGCTCACGAAAATCTCCTTGGGCTTGCAAGAACGATACATGGTTGGCCAGCGCCCCCGCGCCAACCATGGGCGAACGAGGACTTCGGCGCCGTCAGGCTGGCGCGGCCTGGAATCCACCACCAGCCCAGCCTGACAGGGACGCCGACCGGCACGCGCAGTCAGCGCGCCAGGGTGGACGCGGGTGGGTACCAGCACCGAGTGCGAACCCAACGTCGGCCGAAACTGACGACTTGACTGCACTGAGCTGCAGGCACTTCCAAACCCCGACCTGCGCGGCCCCCCGCGAAGGCCACCCCTTGGGGGCCGCGCAGGAAACGATCCCGCTTGGGGACAAACTGCCCCCGCGGTGCCAGCTCCGAGGGAGAGCACGACGAGACCGCCCACCAACCGACCAACCAGCCTGGAGGAGGAAGGAGGAGCGCACAAGCAAAAGCAAGCAGACCGCCATGCCGCGGAGGCACTGCCAGGCAGTGAGGGTGCTGCCAGGGAGGCCGAAGAGGCCAGGATGCCAAGAGGCCACAAGGGGCCCGCTCTGGAGATTTTCCTGCCCCCCAAACCGCTTCGCGATTTAGGGGCGATACAAAAATACACACAAAGAACAGGATTCCCATATTTTCCTTTATTCTCTGGGATTTTGTCCTCTCCCCCACTTCCCATATTTCCCCGTACTTTCTGGGGGATCGACGATTCCTTGTGTCTGTGTGTGTTTCTCCTCTCCTGACTCAAGCCCTCGCCGTCGTCGCTCGACCACCCGGGCTCCGCTCTCGCCCCAGTGGTCGACGGCCGACGGCGGGCCGCCCGTCGTCGTCGTCGTCGTCGTCGCCGCCGCCGCCGCCGTCGTC